TGGCACGCTTTAGAGGGCTTAGGAATAGGAACATCAATCTTGAATGCTGACTAAAGTTTTCCCACTCCTCGATTAGGTTCTTTGTTTCCCAGTTCATGAATTGAATGGGTTATTCTGCGGGGCAGCCATTGTCAATGGATGATCTTAAATCTCAATCTAATTTGGAGACTCAATAGAAGAGCAATATATTATGCCTTTATTTGTAGGCCTACTTACTTGTTATCCCACTTCTGACACCATGTCACATGCATGGGAACTCACAAGCAAATTTAATAGACAAGAAACAATGAGTAATCAAACACAACTTTATTGGCACTCTGTGCCTATGGGGGCAGCCATCTTGGAACTGCTAAGCAGAGGCCATTCACCACCAGAAAACATTATTTTCAATCAAGGGTTTTTTTCCCTTAGATTGTATACATATATTAGAGAGAGATAAATATTACACTCTTCACAGATTTTTTCTTTACCACGAGGAGCAACTATCAATTATGAACCCTACATTGAAACATTGAAACCACTGAAAGCAAGAATTCGACGAGTCAGACCAAATTTGAATACAGTGGAATCCTGTTATAACGAGAGGGAGGGGACCGGTGCGAAATGTCCGTTAAAGAAGGATTCTCGTTGTAAGGGGTCCAGTAATAAATTCAAGGGAAACAGTAAAGTAGGCTTAATCTATGAGTTTGGTGTTCTGTTTATTCCTTTTTGTATTTCCACTGGTGATGATTTTGTTCAACATGATCTCTAGGTCTTACTTGATCAAACATCGAATCAGGTTTCTTTCTCTAGCACTAGCAATGTTGACAGCTCGGCGTTGGCGATCAGAAAGAAGGGGCTCTGGGTCTAGGCTAACTCGCCCGCTGTGTTGTCCCCCACCCCATCACTCACTGTGGTGCGTTGCGTCTGCTTGCGCACATCACACATTGACTCCGTCTATCACAGCATTGTGACCTCTCCATCCCGCACCAGAGAAGTGAGAGGCACGGTATGCCTAGATCAAAGAATTCTACACTTAAGTGTAGAATTCTGTGGCCTAGATAAACTAGACTGGGCTGGCCTGTCAAGCGATGCGTTCTGCTTGTCTGCGCATGCCACACCCTCCCCACTCATCATTCGCCCCGGCCTTCATTGTTGTTGGTTCGCATGGGCTCTCCCATTCATTGTTTGGCCGAATCACCAACAACTTTCTCAACTGGCGAGGTTTTATGTTTAATTAGTCTGTGTGCTGTGCACAGCAGCAGCACTATTCCGTTATAAACGACTCGCGTGACTGTATGATTGCGCAATAGCAGTCTTTTATTTACAAAGATAATGAAGGGAAAAAACGGGGTTTTAGAATAGTGTCTTTATAACAGACTTCTCGTTGTTTCAGGACTCGTTATAAGTGGACTCCACTGTATATGGAAAAAGTGTTTTTTCACCATGACAATGCCGCCTGCATTCGAGTACCAGAACAAGGGAGACAATCACCTCATTTGTGGAAAACACTGCCATATTCAACTTATTATCCTGATATGGCTCCTTTAGACTTCCGCATTTTCGGTCCTAGAAAAGAACCATTGAAAGGTCAACACTATGGAAACGATGGAGAAATCAGGACCAAACGACCAATCTGCGCAGTTTTACGCAGCTGGCATATGAGGACTAAGTAAAAGATGGACGGTGGCTTGTAAACGAAATGAAGATTATGTTGAGAAATAAAAATCTGATCCTCAGATGTTCCCCTTCAATTTGAAGTATGATAGTTGCAAGTGTGTTCTTTTTTCTTTAAGTTATGAACGCACTGGCATTACTTTTTGACTCACCTAGTACCTACATTAAAAAACAAACAAAAAATGAAACAAACAATAACAACAACAAAAACTAACCACACAAACCAATCAAAACAAAACACATTACACACGGTGTCATAATAAACATGTATTTCCAAAAATTTATTTACAACACTATGGTAGTAATGCGAATTATATTAGAGTTACCTATATTATTGTATCAGAAGCACAGAGTACCGTGTGGTAATACTGGTTAAAAACTGGTGCAACAGAGTTGGAGAAAAGTCACATTTTTTACTCCACAAAAATAATTTCTTACACTTACAGGATAAAAGTAAATATGTACATACACACTGATTAATTCTTAAAGGTAAGAATAAAAAATGCAAAATACATGAAACCTTTAAAAAAAATAAAAATAAAGGAAAAAAAATGGAACACAGCAATGCAGGTATTTGGTAGATTATTAGTACTGTACAGCAATACTTTCTTGATTCTTCTACAATTACAATTTTACAGGGGTTAACAGATCTGTCCAATGTACAAAGCAGTCTTTTTGTACAATGTAAGCTGACAAACATACAGTCTAGCATTCACATAAAAGTCACATACACCATACAGCGAACACAGGGCTGCCCACCAAACCGCTTTCATGTTTTAGTAATTAGCAAATAAAAAATTAGTCATCTGGCTTTAAAATTTCTAATAAAGCCATGGATTGTCTTCTTCCCTGGGGTGTCAAGGACAGGCGTTGTAGTCAAGCAAGTACAATGTATAAAAGTAACCCAAACCAAGGCATGATGAAAAAGGCAGTCTTGACGGGTTCATCATTGGTCGAGTTAAGAAGAATAGGGCAGAAAAGGGGACAAAGATCGCATATGTATTGATATTATTATTAAGCTATTAAAAAATTATCCATAAAAAAAAAGTCTCTCACTAGCCTTGGCTGTCGCACACAGCCCAAAAAGACACACTGTCAACCGTACGCTAATCGTACTCCTGCAATTTGGCACTTCCAGAGTCTAATGTTTTTTCTAAGGGCAAAGTGGCACTGAGCGAACTACAAGGGCTCAAGGAAAAGAGGACGCTAAACTTAGACATTTGCACGTGACATAGTGACGTAGACTGTCCGGGTCTGGTCATTTTTCTTCTTTTATACACAGGGAGGGTTGGCAGTGAGTTGGGATAAACAAATTTTAAAAACATCGGAATCTGGAGTATTACGATTGTATTTTCGTCAAATTGAATTAAAATCGAGACGATTCCGCCAAATTCGTAATAATGGGCAGCCCTGAAGACAGACTTTCAAACTTGTACACGATGAAAATATTTCCACGTCGTGTTGATTTCTTCATTATGTGCGAGCTAGACTGTATGGAAATACACATGCACACCAGTCATAACAAATAACTTGTGGTTCCCATTTCTGTTGGCATCATGGCCTGCTTGATAAGAGAACAATTACAATCATAGAGAACTTCTTTATCTAAAACTAAAATGACCACTTCCCACTAGACGTTTCTTTCTATTATTTTAAAACGCCACTGTCCAAGATATCCACTTGTCTGAAATAACACTTTTCTCCTCAACAATGGATGGCTGTCTTAGATAGTGTTGACTGGTACATACCATACAATTTCAACCCAGCTTTCAAAGCCCGTGTGTGGGAAACTGCTAACATAAGGTCCTGTCCCTATTTGTTCTTAACTCTCATACCATGTAACCAGAGGGTTTAACCTCATGAGATGGAGGCCGATTGTGGTGTTTTTTGCCCCATCAATGTTTTACGATGCTATTAGGTCGCCCATTAAACCAAAATAAAAAAAAGAAACAAGTTACCTTTTTTCTGCCAATTTTTCACCTGATCATTTATTCCAAATCTTAACATATGTCATTTTAATAAAAACTTGTCATTATTGTCCAGATCATATGGCTCACATCATTAAGCAGAAAAGTTTTCTAGCCATTAGGGAATTTGAAATTTTGGCTGGTTTACTGTACTCAATCTCCCAGTTGGTTTAGTTATAGTAAGTCTTATGGCACTGCACTTGTAACACAATTGGGTTGTATAAGTGCCAAAGATAAGAGGTGTTACTAGAGAACGACATACAAAAAGAAACAGAGGAGATATAAAGACGATAGATGTTTGATAGGAAATAATCCCAGTTGGATGGCCATGTTTGAAAGAGTTTGAGTGAATAGCAAAATAAAAACAATTCATGTTAACTTTATTTTCGTTTGTGTTACCAGCTTTGGCCTCTGCCATAGATATGGGTCAAACCAAAAAAGACATCACTATGTGTGTACTTGACGGACAGAATGTCATTTAGCAAGTGTGACTGCGCAGTAATCATAAAATAATAATGCCCTTAGATATGATGGGTAAAAAAAAATTAAATTACCTGAAAAGGGAATTGGAAAGTTTACCTTGATTTCTCATCATAAAGTCAAATAACAACATAATCAAAAGTTATTTATTCTTTACAAAACCCGTATTTTTCAAATGACAGCCTTTAAAGGTATTTTTTGCACAGATAGTGAAGCTTTTGATAACAATACTGTGACTGAAATTAAAAAAGAATTTTGTAGTAGAGGGTTCTACGGCACTCGCAACTGCATAGGTCATATGAGCGCCAAGGGGTGGGTGTCAAAAGAGAAGTCTTTACAGGGAATCAGACTTAGACTGGTCACCTCTCTAGTTTCAACAGCACAAGGTCTGCTTCGACTATCAAAGCACCCCGGAAATAGGTCACAAGAGAGTGACAAACATACAAAAAAAGTAGAGGAAAATGACAATAGTAAGGATCAGGAAAGAAAAAGCAGCAGTTCCCTGTTGTAGATCAGGCACAGTTATGAGCGTGACATGAGTCTGCCCATTTAAAATTCTACTATGCTTGAACGAGAAATGTCCCCCTTTGGGAGTGGCCTAAAGACACTACATTCAGTGGCACTGCATCGGGGAGTAAGTGACTGAAAGTAGGTATTTCAAAATCAGTACAGCTGCCCCCCCTCTAGTGCCCTTCTGTCTTTTTCTCTCACACTACCATATAACTCCTTTTCCTCTCACCTCCCCCCAATCACAAATTATGATGTAACCACCCCCCCACATGATCAACAACACAGGATGAAAAAACTCTACATTATGCAATTTCTGCTTCAGATTTTAAAAATTTCATACTACTGGAAAATAACAGAACACAACCAGACCTTATTTGCCGTTTTTCCTAACTTGTTGCATTTTAATGTGACATTAAAATTTTCATGCACTCAAAATTCCTACTCCCCTATTCTCTGTATTTCAAAAACAAATCTGACAAGCCTACCCACAATCACTATCTTAAGACAAAAACGTCTACTTTCGTCTTTTTTTCTTTCGAAGACTATACTCATCACTCGAACCTTTAAATCTGTCAACCTTAATGTTCTGTTTATCCAGCATGGAGAACATATTCTGAAGCTCCAAAGCATATAGATGGTCTCTCTCCTCCTGAGTCATCCCAGCCTTCTCAGAATCATCTGCTGTTAACGACGATACGAAATCTTTGGAGCACACACTTTCAACATCCGAGTCATCAATATCATCATCAGTGTCTGAAACTGATATCATCCTTTTCCTTTTCTTCGCAGGCTTTTTCTGTTTCTTCTTGGTGCTTCCACCAAGTTCCTGTTCAGAACGAGTCAAATCAGCACTTTCATTGCCACTATTTCTCCGGCTTTTTAGAACAAAATAATCCATTGTTCCTTTAGACAACTGGTTGGAATTTCCAGTCTTATTTGTAGAAGGCACTACACCTGATAGGGACGGCTTTGATTTTGATGAGAGAGTAACCCCTTCTGAAGCACCATTAACTTGCCGATCTTTCTTATTCTTCACCAGTCTTTGTCTTCCTTGTGAGGACAGATCCCTGTTCTCAGATTTGGATGTCTGAAGTGGTCTTTCAGTATCAGGTGAAGACTGGCCTGACTTTGTCTCTGAACAGTTATCATTAACATCTTTCATGGACTTGTACTCACCCGCCTGAGCAGGTCCAGTTTTATGGGAGTCAAAATCACTGATGGTATCAATCATTTCAATGTCAGTCAGTCTTGGAGCAGAAACCTGGAGAATGTTCTCCTTCGATTTGCTCTTATCTTCCTGATCTAAGAACAGGACGTCACTACTGTCAGACACAGGCGACTCCCTCCACTCTATGTCCCTGTTACATTCCCCAGTTTTTTTCTCCAGTGGCTTTTTTTGCAGATTAACGTCAGACGCCGTCACATTTTTCTGGAGCACCTCTGTGGAGGGAAAGCCGAGAATATCCTTCACGACCCCATGTGGTGCCTCTGAAGAGACAGCGGTGGCTCTCTTGATTTTAGGTACAGAGTGTTGTTCCCCAGACGAACATTGTGACGTCCTTGTCTGAACTGCCTGCAAGTCTTTGCTAACTTTGCTGCCGTTGGACTTAAAGTCATTGCCTTGTGGCCGCGTTACGTCGAGATGAATATCAAAGGAATCCAGGGAGGAGTCGGAAACAGCATTGTCATTGGACCTATCAGAGTCCTGAGGAAACGCGGACAATGTAGAGACAGACAGTTGGTCTTGTCTTTCTGAGGTACACAATTCAGTCTGTGAGCGGCTTTTCAATTGACAATCACTGAAAGTTTGCAGCTGAGGTCCTTGGACAACAGCACTGGGCTGACTTTGAGAACCATTTCCCAAACTTTTAGAAGGGGGATCACATGCTTGGAGGTTGACAATGCACTTTTTGAGCTGAGCAACCTCTGGAGGATTTTCTCTTTCAGGGCTATTCTTTTTGTGGGCCTGGCCTTTGAGAAGAGCTCTTGTGGAGGGAGAAACTTTCGACGAAAACTTGGCGACTTCTCCAGTGGTGGTGAGGGCAGGAATAGACTCAACACTCAAAGAACTCATTGAGGAGAAGAGATTACGGGGCGTAGCCCGCACCAATGGAGGGTCATGCCTCACACCATTGGCTGCTTTTTTGGGGGGTGTTCTATCACAGGAAGCGATTGGCTGAAAGTGTGGCCCCACCAACGTACTCAGACCACTGGGGCCAGCAGCAAAAATATCCACAGCCTCCGATTTGACGTGGGATAAATCAATTGGTGAGTCGATGTCAGTCCGCGGCGCTGATATGACGTCAGCATCACGGGCCGTCAGGTCAATCTGCTGAGCCGAAGCTGTGGAGTAGGCATGATCTAGTTGCTGTAGAGTCTCACTACCATCACTGCTACTCTCGCTGTCCGGCTGTGGCTGGTCCAAGTGTGAGAGGCCATAAAAAATCTTCTCTTTGGGGGAAATGCACTTGTATGGGTAGGGGCTGCCGGAATGCTGCTGCTGCTTCAACTCTCTGCCCTGATACCATGGGTCAGGAGGGGCGCTGGACGACGATGACCGCGGGACAGAGTTGAAGAATGTGTTGAGAGTCAGGTTGGGACTAGTACTCTGACTCGTCGATGGCTTGCTCTTGCCCTTGACCTTTCTGTTGCCTTTTTTGTGAGAGGTCGGGGGCACGCTTGTGCTCAGTGACTCCTTCTCCCTGGCCCCAATATTAGTCCTCTACAAAAAATGGAGACAAAAGAAAAAAAAGAATTACATTATTTCTTTGCAAGAAAGAACAGTTGGGACCAAATACTCAAACAACATGTGGGTACACCATGTTTCCAAACTTCTTATCACAGGTTGACAAACAAGGCAGGGAAACAGGGCGTAACACATACACTGGCAAATAATAATAATCCCAATACCGAATGTTGGACATCCTCTTTGAACATAACAATGGCATTTAGCATCTAGTGAGAAAGGAAATGCCATACATAATTTTTTTTATATACCGGTGTGTTTGTATACTATAAGATCTACGATTTCTTTTGTGGCAGCACTGCGTTTGGCCTTCGGATTATATAAACACCTGATCAACGCATGGGGAGCTCGTTCAGCGATAAACATGAGGTTCGCAGCCAGTGGCACAGCTCCTACCAGTAAAGACATCTTTCTTCCTTCCTGTGTGTACATACATCACAATTTTGGTCCAAAAATTAATGGTGTTTCACTGTATCAGCGAGTAGTTCGAAATGATAGGAGCTGACTTTTCAACCCTTTCTCTAGGCGCACACACTTATGACCCACAAAAACAAATAATGCCCAGATTTAAAAAGTAACAGATTTCATGACAAGCAAGTCAAATCAACTTTTCTAATGGCTGATAACTTTGTGGATATCAAAATTAGGGGTCGTTAAGTAAAAACTACAGGTTAGCACAACTGTCTAGGTGTACAGTAGAACATGACTATAGCGGCATCATCCCTAAAATGCTTGGATATAGCGGGGCAAGGAACGTCCCGAACTCGGACACAGCGGGAGAGATCGAGCGGGCTCGAGGTGGGGATTGGGCTGTAGGCGGGCTCCAAACAGGCAGTCAGCAGTGCGGCTTTATGATTGGCCAGTCCAAAAAGTAAAAGAAGAGGAGAGAATGTAGTGTGTGGAAAAGATGGCTTAGAAACAAAGACTAAAGGAAAGGCTTTTCACTCGAATTAAAGGCCGAGATAATCAAAAAAGTTGAAAAGAAAAGTAAGACTAATCTAAAGCGCAAATTTTATTGATATGGAAGGGGGGTAATCATGTGGAGTTAAAAGAAAATTTTCGGTAATTCCCCTTTGCATTCCTATAGCGGGAACTCGACTACAGAGAGATATTTCTTCAGGGACCAAAAGTCATGCTACAGCCGTGTTCTACTGTATTTATATACCTGTCTGATTGGTCTACCTTCAAACAGGTTCTGGTAAAAGCATGCACATAAAAATCTTCCAAAAGATTATAATATGTGTCTAACCTAATTCTAGTTTGTTTCTAAAGAGTACTTTTTACCTACAGTTCACCTTTTTTACTTTGCAGATCAATAAAGTCAAATAGTTTGGACGGTCTGTTAATTAAATAACCTGCACAATAGCATGCTGGACCATGGTGCAACGACCATGGTTCAGATTCCAAAATGGTCATTCTTGAACTTGGGTTGTTAAAGGAAACTTTCAGGTTTTTCACCCATTTGGCTCAGTCCTCTCAGAGATGAAAGTTGAGTTCAGAGGTCAAACCTCAATAACTGTTCAGTGGGTGAAGTCCAGCTGTATCTCATCTCATTCAAGTTGGTTAAGTCACTACTCAACATACTTTTAGACCTTCCTTTCTTTCTTTCCTTGTGGATTCCATCTAAAGCCTTGGTGGTTAAAACCCATTATATTAACACCTTACTGGTATCGAAAAAGGAGAGTTTGAGTTTGAATAAAGAGAAGCACATCGACACAATAAAGGTCATCTAGTGCAACGAAAGAGTAAAACAAATGGACAGAAACAACAGTGGAGATGAAAAGAAGAAGGACTAATCAGTGGCGACCTCCAACAAACCAATGAAAGAGGTGATAAACCCTTATCATAGCAAACACTCATCCTATTAGTGTTTGGGCACCTAATAATTGGCTGATTGCACTGTACACTCCCGGGAAGCCAAGAATGTTTGTGAACTTTGGAGAGCCTGCTGGGGAAATAATAGTTGTACAATGCATTGAGCATGCAGTACAGAATGGATATGAGCTACATATAAATGCAATTATTGTCATCATTATAAGGGGTACCTGATCCAACTGCTCGGCAGCGAGGCGTCCCAGCAGATCCGTCTCTTGTCTTTCTCTCTCCCATGTCTCCATTTCCAGTTCCTCTTCCTCCTGTAAGACTCGGATCAGCGCCTCGCTTGCCTCAGCCTCCTTCTTCGCCTCCTCTTCACGCTGACGTTGGAGCTGAGGAAGGAGTAGTAATACAATATGCAGGTGGGAGGTTAGTAGGCTCTCTCATGTGATTTGCTCCTTTTTCCCTACCAAATAGGCTACCGGACTCGTAATCGTGAAGTTGCGGGTTCGAGCCGCGGGCCCCATGTTGTGTCCTTGGGAAAGGCACTTTACACAAATTTTCCTCACTTCACCTAGGTGGAAATGGATACCCGGCAATAGACAGCGACAGATCTTGTCTGTATTTGAGTGTTCTAGCACCTATAAATGGCTGCTAGCACTGTATGCTTCCAAGGAAGTTGAGGTTGCTTCAGAATGCTCTCAGGTCTGCCGGGGTAACAGTATAGATTATTGATTATGAAGTGCACAGAACTTGCTGCTGAACGAGGATTTGCGCTTAAATGCAAATGTTATCACTATCATTATTATTGTTCTTTTATCTCTCCTTCTTCCTCTCTCTGTGTGTTATCTTCGAGAGCTAACACCTCTAATCTTCGACATTTTTTACCTATTTGTGTTGGAGGTGCTGTAAACTTCTTACTAATGCTAAACTAAACACAATGTAGTCGAACCTGTTTTTTTTGTTAGACTACTCATCCAAGACCTGTTCAAACAAGCATTTCACATCTGACATTTTTTAAAATATTACAATGAAACTGTCCAAGAAGGGAACTTTGCTGTATCAAAACAAAACAATTCAGCATTTCTGGAAAATGAGCAGATAAATTTTTTTTTACAGTAGTTGTGAAAGTACCACTACCAAACTGCACTGTAACCCCCACCCCCCTCCCACAAAACTGAGGAAGGAAATTTCGGCAGAGGAGGAGAAAACATTATGAAGACAGAACCTGTCGATTATAATTATCTACACAAAAAGCAAAGGAAGAGCAAACATTACGATGAAGAAAGAACCTTTCAGTAATCTATGCAACAATCAGTTATAAAGACTACATACACAGATATAATCACTCTGGCATTAAAATTTTTAAAATGAAATTTAATTCCTATTTGAACTGCCATGGCAACAAGGCAGTACTATAGAGCCAATCTGACAAGAACCTGAATCATAACATTCAAAACGCAGATATTTACAAAAGCTTCGGCATACCTTTTGAAGTGCAGCTTCATATTCTTGTCTGATTTCCCCAGGCTTTGACAGTTCTTTTAGTCTCCGCAGCTCTGAAAGAAATAATTTAAAAGCAATTTTTGAGAGAGAGAAACATATACACTGTCATCACAAATACAAAATACATTTTCATGCTCTAGGTGCATATAAAAACAATTTCTTGTACTTAGAAATTTGTAAGCCGACAACATCAAGTGAGACTTTTTTTTAACCCTATCCGTACGCCCAGGGACTATTTTGTACCCCTTGGGTAGTATTCTTCACATTTTAAAATACTTCTAATACGAAGATCTCTTTCAAACTTTCAGTAGTTCTCAAAAAATCATTTTGACAGATTGCTATGCAAAGCGTACGGATCGGATTAATGAGTAAATTTCCTCTTTGTAAAGTGCTGGCACAGAGTTCCCCCCACATCGTATGGATATGATAGTAGAACACGATGGACGGAGAGGGTTAAAAAGGAGACAGAAATAACTTGGATGACTTTATTTGACCTTCAAACAAATTTTTGCAAAGATAATTTACAGATAATAAGAACCAAGGTAAAGCTATATTCTCATTGACCCCTACAATACAATACTATATTGACATAAAAGCACTCTGTCACAGAATGCACAATTTTTCACATATATTGAAGTGCCAGGGAAAGCAATTGAAACAATATTTTCAAAAGGAAAAGCAGACAGTAAACCCAATCAGTGTCAAGCTCTTACGTGTTTCATAATCATCCTCATTCTCATCATCATCCTCGGAAACATCTTTCTCGTCCAGTCGACGCTGCACCTTCCCTGGGAAGGCCCTTTGAATGGCTTGCCACTTTGCCTCGTCGACCAAGTTATTTTGTTTCGAAGCCTTGCGGGCCCAGACAGAGATTCTGAGCCGACATATGGGACACGTGAGGCTAGCCTTCTCCACAGTCTGCCGGTAGCATGGCATACACAGCGAGTGACGGCACGGCATCGTCACCGGCTCAATCATGATGCACATGCAAATTGGACAGGTGCACTCTTCCTTTGACAGGACAAACTTGCACTTACCGCTGTCTTGCTTCTTCATCATGCTGAGCAATGAGGAGACAGCTGGTGAAAATGGAGAAAAAAAAGCTAAAATAGGAAGACATGGAAATATTGAAAACTATTTTATAAAAATAAAGTTTATGATGCTTAACTTTTATTATAGTCTGTATCAGTTTTAGTTTTAGTCGACGTTTTACGGCACTCGTAACTGCATAAGGTCATGAGCACCAAGGGGTGGATGTCATCAGAGAAGTCCTTACAGGGAATCAGACTTACTCTGCTCACCTCTCTAGCTTCAACAGCATAAAGTCTGCTTTGACTATCAAGGCACCCATGAAATAGCTGGTCAGAAGAGTGTGACAAACACACAAAAGAAGTAGAGGAAAACTGACGATAGTAAGGATTAGAAAAGAAAAAGCAGCAGTTCCCTGTTGCAGTTCAGGCACAGTTATGAGCATGATATTGATGAATCAGCCCATTAAAAATAACAATTCTACTGTTGAGATGCTAATGTCCCCGTTCTTGGGTCTAAAGACACTACAGTCAGTAGCACCACCCCGAGGGGAGTGTCTGTATCAAATTCGAAAAAAATTTTTTTTTAAATAATGAGAAGCTGACATGGAAATATAATGAAAACTATAGAGCTGTCACTTGCTCTTTACATTATAAAATGTTAGTCAGATAATGAATGATTTGTTGAAAATTTTGACAGTGATATATCAAAACAATCTTATTTTTCATTTTGCTTGAACTTGTCAACAAGTGGAGGTCTAGGCCTATAGAAGGCTGGGCCCTATTATTAAACTTAGGACAGTAGTCTCGGCCTAAGATCCTGGTGCTCGGGAGCAAGGAAAATGCAGGATCTTAGGCGAACCGGGATCTTAGCCGAATGGCCAGGGGGGAAGAACCCACACACTCATTGTCAGGCCCAAAATCTGGGCGCTTTTTCGGTAGTTCCCACCCCGCAATTGTTATTCATGGGTTTTGACCCCAAGAGTAGGGGGGTTTCAGGGGGGCAAACCCCCCCTGAGCTAAAAAAAATAAGGACGGGGGTTTCAGGATTTTACCACACAATTTAATGTTTTGCAGTTTTTAGGTTTGAATCTTAGCTCGCCACGTATCAAACGTGTAGATCCAGATTTCTAGATGTAGGTCAGGCTCAAATAGGGGGGGGTGGGAACTACCGAAAAAGCACCAAAATCTGTACTAAAACGATCTCCCCAAGCCCTACTTTAAATTTTAAATGAACTGACCTGACTCCCGGGCACTAAAAGTTCTTTTCAGAAGTCAGTTTTTCCCTTTTTGTGTTTGGGGGCGGAGGGGTGGGGCTTTTAAAAAAACGAAGTGGGGCTAGACTGCCGCCAGTCTAGCCGTACTTAGATCTAGGTTTGGCCCTATCGACTCAAACCAGTTAAGTACACAGGTCTCATTAGATCTAGATTCTAGATCTAGTAATTATTCAGGTTCAAACATATGCAAGTCAGTAAGGCACCTTTTGGTTTTGTCTGAAATACAAATACTGTAGGCATTGCAAACTAAAAATTTCATTTACAATTCAGCCATCAATATTAAGTACGGCTAGCCTGACAGCCTGGCTGTCAAGCTAGGTGCACGGTAACTGCTTTGCTCCCTTCATGACGTTGACGTTAATTTTTCCTTTTTCACCGAGTAGTCTCAAAGTTGCATACATGATAACCGTGCGCGTAGCCTCAATATCTACGTACACATTAACCGTGTACTTAGTTTCGAGGGGTAGGGGGGGGGGGAATGTGGAAGGGGGGATGCGGAAGGGGGCTTGAGCTAGGTGCACGCACGGTAACTGCTTCGCTCCCTTCATGATGTTGACCTTTTTTTCCTTTTTCGCCGGGCGCATAGCCTCAATATCTACGTACACAGTAACCGGCAACCGGGCGTGTAGTCTCAATGTCACATACACATGTACACGGTAACCGGGCGCGTTGCCTCAATATCTACGTACACGGTAACCGACAACCGGGCGCCTCTCAATATCAAAGAACACGCTAACCGGGTATGTAGTTTCGTGGGGGAGAGGGGGGGGCGCTTGAGCTAGGTGCATTGTAACTGCTTCGCTCCCTTCAAGACCTTTACCTTTTTCCTTTTTTCTTTTTGCACTCCGCTTTTTGCGGTTGTGAGTGGGCGGAATGTAATCCCACAAATGATCCCAATCTAAAACATGTAATAATATCACGAGACAGAGAGAACGAGACTCAGAAAACAGAGAGAGGGAGAGGGAGAGAGAGAGAGAGAGAGAGAGAGAGAGAGAGAGAGAGAGAGAGAGAGAGAGAGAGAGAGAGAGAGAGAGAGAGAGAGAGAGAGAGAGAGAGAGAGAGAGAGAGAGAGAGAATAAAGTATGCACTTGATGAGGTCATACTTCTCTTAAAACAAAGGTCAATGAAACAAACATACTATCACCCATCCTATGAAACGCAGACCTTTTAGTTAAAAAACACGGCTTACTAGGTTTGAGTATGACGGATCCCAATTCCGTACAGGGCTTGCACCAATGCATGCTTTTCCGTAGCAGGAAGCTCTAGTAATAATCAAAATTCTAAATACTAAAATTTGCTTCCATTCCAAGTTCAGTTTTTGTCATCCGGTGTTGCCTTCAACCCCACCCCTCCCCCCGACTGTACCTTTTAAAAAAATCGATAATCCCCCCCATTCCGGAGCCCTAGATCTATACTTTGCACAGCGCACACTTTGAATGAACTTTGGTGACCCCAACGATCACTGGTACAGTAGTCTCCGCCTAAACGCACGGTGCTCGGGAGGGCTCCTTAGCGTGTGTTCACACGGAGCGTGCGTTTACATGAACCTTTGCAAGGGGAGGAAGGGACGCAGTCATCTCAATTCGTTATTACTACTCTAGTGGCCTCCCTTGAAGGGAGGGGGTCATTTTTGCCGATAATGTGACGACACGTGACTGTTTTAAGAAGGATTCCCCGACAGGGGTTAAGAGCACAAAGGCGTTGAATGAGGGAGGGAGGGGGTGGCAAACTCAATGCAATGAATTTGCACTATAAACGTGGGAAACAGATAGCCTAAGAGGAAACTGCTGGTCATAGTCATAGAGACGACGGACGAGCCAAGTGGCTTTCCAAGCGACCACCCTCAAGAAACATTTTCTCTTGTGATTCGTTGAGCAAGTCCATTATAAGTTCTTTGAGCGCAGCTTATTAGGCTTACTTGGCTACTCTTTAATCCTATAGAGGCCTGTCTAGTGTTTTACGGCATTTACGCATGTCACGCATCAGGCCTAGAGATCTAACTAAACATTACACGCAGTCACTCAAACTCAAAACACCAGTCAGAAACCTTCTCTCAAAGATACATTTCCAATGACCAATCAAAAAACATTTCAGTCTCCCCCCCCAACATTTAACCGACCAGCCCTAGACCGAGACCTATGCGTCAGTGGAAAGTATTGTGTGTATACGCTGCCCATCACCCTCTGGGCACTCTCACCAGATATCCGATTTTCTAGTAAATTCTAGGCTTGTCTTATGCAGGCTGTGCAGGTTGTCGTGAAAATTTCCCCTTGCCAAGCTCAACTTGTCCTGTGTTTCGCAGATCGGAGCGTGCGTTTAGAGGGAGTGACCGTGCGTTTGTACGTACGTCTAAATTATAAAGTAAAAAACTCGTCAGATGATGAAAGCATGCCTTTCAGCGGAGCGTGCTTTTGTGTGGCGTGCGTTTAGGCGGAGACTACTGTACTCACAATGTGATGCGAAGGTACAGGTTCACTGACCGGTCACGATGTTGAGCCCGACAAGACGCTTGTATATAACAACTTTTTTTTTTCCGCAAGTGAAAGCAAAGGACAATGATTTATTTTCATGGTGACAGTGTTGTATGCACAACCTGTTTGTTACAAATGTTGCGTTAACCAGACTGCTATCGGCAAATTTCTGGGTGGTAACGAAAGCGAAAGTAGATCGAGCTTCGGTTCCACGCATTCACTTATGCTTGCCGCCAAAGCAACCTGTTTATACCTAAAACTATCTTTTGTTTTCGTAAGAGTTAGCACTTGCAACACAATAAGTTCATATATAAGTGTCGAAGATTAGAGGTGTTAGTGTTACAATAGAGTAATAAACACAAAAAGAAGAAAGAAAAAAGATTTCTTGAATAGGAGAGAAGGAGCAGACCACACCAGAGCATCCACCAAACACCCACTAATACTATCTTTACACACACCACACTCACAATCACACACAAAAATACATAAATACAGAGAGAGAGAGAGAGAGAGAGAGAGAGAGAGAGAGAGAGAGAGAGAGAGAGAGAGAGAGAGAGAGAGAGAGAGAGAGAGAGAGAGAGAGGGGAGGGAGGGGGGGAGAGGGAGAGGGAGATTATATATCATGAAAATCTGCGAATCTTGTACAGAAAGCGAAAATATAGAGATCTAATTTACTGTAACCAATCCAATGAAACGCGAACACTTAGGCCGTTTTCACACAAGTCACAAGGCCTGCACCAACGCACACTTTACTTTGCAGAGCTGTAGTAGTAATCAAACAGAGTGTCTACGTACACGGTAACCGCGCGCGTAGCCTCAGGGTCTACGTACACGGTAACCGGGCACGTAGTCTCAAGGTCTACGTACACGGTAACCGGAAGGTTCAAGATATAGTTCACTCAGCCAAAAAGAGTGTCACTTTTATTAAATTATTGTTTTTTACACAAGTAGGGTAGATTCTAACTCTGTTCGCAAAGTTCACACTTTTTCGAAGAGGGCGGCGCGCACGAGGGTCAACCGCTCTATAGTCCAGCACGATACCCACTAAATTTCATAATGGAGCGTAAGTAAGCCTTTACTTTCGCTTTCGTTACCACCCAGAAATTTGTCAGTAGAAATTGTCTGATAACGCAACAATTATTGTAACATGCAGGTTCGGGATTACAAACGTGGTGTCGTCATGAAAGTAAATCAATATTTGTCACTGTGTCGTCACTTATAAGGGCAACATAAAGAAAAGAAAGTTATACAAAAGTCTTGTCGGGCTCGCCATTGTGGCCGGTCAATGAACCTGCGAGCGTTCTGAGCGCTGCGAAGTATAGGACTAAGGAATGGGGGAGGGGCGGGGGGTGAGAGAGATTATTATTGATTTTTTTAAAAGACGCACTCGATGATAGGGGGAGGGCTGGACGCAACACCAGTGGACAAAAAAAAACCTGAAACTGGAAGCAATTATGTTTAATGTTTAGAATTTTGATAACTACTACAGCTCTCTGCTAAGTAAAGTGTGCGTGGGTGTAGGCCTTGTGTGAAAATGGCCTAAATGTTCGCGTTTCATTGGATTGGTGGCAGTATATTTTAGCTTTCTGTTCAAGATTCGCAGATTTTCAGTATCACTGCATCTTGCCCTCCCACAGTTCTTACACCTCTTACACTGAATAGGTCTGCTTGGGCTATTCTATTCTACTTTGAGTTAGAGCATTAATTTTTGTCTTTCACGTTTATTATATAGGCCTGTATATGATATGAATCATGACAGTCGATATTCTGGTTCTAGGCTCAAAGCAAGATTCATTTTTATATATAGTTTATATATAGGCGAATATGATGAAGGGAAAATATTAATAAGTCCCACAAGACCCCAGGCGCCACCACTTTCTGTACGTAATCAAGATTGTAAATTTGGTGAATGACTCTTACTTGAAATTATCTCCCAAACCCTCAAATTGATGTGATATAACCTTGCTTTGATAAATTGATGGTTTTCATTTCAGCACTCTAGGGTTCAACAGTATAATAAATAATATAATGGGTGTTTCGCGAAAATGGGCTTCTGTGGCGATCACCTGGAAAGTTCCTAGAATTCTGAGTTGAGACCCATGTGATTTAAATAAGTATATATATTGGTTTTCAAAATGCTATGATGTCTCACCCTTTGGTGCAGAAAAGCAAGCATTAGACCAAATACAAGTCTTTGGGTGTTGACCATAGCTAAAGATGTACTTTTCCATGTTTGATTTTGACTGTCTTCTCTAGTTTTAATATGTCCTGGGTAATTCATTTTTTATTTGCTCTTTTAGCTTTCATATTGTTTTATCCAATGTGTATGTTGTGTGATTTGTGTGTGCTTAGAGACAGAGAGAATATCGTTGTGAGGCTATGGAGATTTTTGTTTTATATAATGTAACTACATACACGTACAAAGTCATAGTCAAGTCTACTTCTGACAAACTCAACCGATAAAGCTATCCTCATATCGTTTTATCCAATGTGTATGTTGTGTGATTTGTGTGTGTGTAACAAGCTAAGTATTAAATATATCTTAGAGGCTATTCACACGTGCATATGCATGATGTGTGTGTGTGTGTGTGTGTGTCCCTCTCTCTTTCTCTCTCTCCCCCCTCTCTCTCTCTGTGTTTATGTATTTTTATTTTTTGTGTGATATTGTTAGTGTGGTGTTTGTAAATATAGTATTACTATTAATTGGTTGTTGGTGGGTGCTCTGGTGTGGTCTGCTCCTTCTCTCCAATTCAACATCTATCATCCTTATCTTTCTCTTCCTTCTTTTTTTGTTTGTTACTCTCTTGTAACACTAACACCTCTAATCTTCGGCACTTATATAAACTTATTTTGTTGCAAGTGCTAACTCTTTCGAAAACAAAAGATAGTTTTAGGTATGAACAGGGCGCTCTGGCGGCAAGCGTACGTGTATGTGTGGTACCTGGTACCGAAGCTCGATCTACTTTCGCTTTCTTTACCACCCAGAAATTTGCCGGTAGCAGTCTGATTTAACGCAACATTTGTAACATACAGGTTGTGCATTACAAACGCTGTGTCGCCAGGAAAATAAATCATTTTCCAGTGTTTTCACTTGCGGAAAAAAAAGAAAGTTAAATACAAGCGTCTTGTCGGGCTCGACATCGTGACCGGTCAGTGAACCTGTACTTTCGCGTCACATTGTTGTGAGTATCATCAGTGATCGCATGGGGTCACCAAAGTTCATTCAACAAGTGCGCTGCGCGAAGTATAGAGGGCTCCGGAATAGATCTAGGGGGATTATTGATTTTTTAAAAAGGTACAGTCGGGGGGAGGGGTGGGGTTGAAGGCAAGATCGGATGACAAAAACTGAACTTGGAAGCAAATTTTAGTTTAGAATTTTGATTATTACTAGAAAGAGCTTCCTGCTACGGAAAAGCGTGCATTGGTGCAAGCCCTGTACGGAATGGGGATACGTCATACTCATACCTAGTAAGCCGCGTTTTTTAACCAAAAGGTCTGCGTTTCATTGGATGGGTGATAGTCAAGGATCCCCTTGTTTCATTGTCCTTTGTTTTAAGAGAGGTATGACCTCATCAAGAGCATACTTTTTAAAATGCTCTCTCTCTCTCTCACTCGATCTCTCTCTCTCTTCCTTCCTCTCCCTCTCTCTGTTTTCTGAGTCTCTATTCTCTCTCTCTCTCTCTCTCGTGATAGTATTACAAACAATGTTTTGTAAACATCTATATTTTAGCTTTCTCTTCCAGATTCGCAGATTTTCAGAGTCACTTCAGTTTGCTCTCCCTTAGGGAAAGATGACAGGGGGTAGATTGGGGTCATTTTTGGATTTAAATTTACTTTCCGCTCACAATACACAAAAAGCGAAGTGAAAAAGGAAAATCGTCAAGGTCATGAAGGGAGCGACGCAGTTACCGTGCACCTAGCTCAAGCGCCCCCCCCCCCCCAACCCCCGAAACAAAACACGAACCCGGTTACCGTGTTCGTAGATAATGAGAGGCGCCCGGTTGCCGGTTACCGTGTACGTAGATATTGAGGCTACATGCCCGGTTACCGTGTATGTGACATTGAGACTACACGTCCGGTTGCCGGTTACCGTATACGTAGATATTGAGGCTACGTGCCCGGTTACCGTGTGTGTGACAATGAGACTACATGGTGAAAAAGGAAAAAAGTCAACGTCATGAAGGGAGCGAAGCAGTTACCGTGCGTGCACCTAGCTCAAGTCCCCTTCCGCCCCCCCCCCTCACCTCCCGAAACTAAGTACACGGTAACCTTGTACGTAGATATTGAGGCTACGGGCACAGTTACCGTGTAAACATGCTACACGGTGAAAAAGGAAAAATTAATGTCAACGTCAAGAAGGGAGCAAAGCAGTTACTGTGTACCTAGCTGAACCCCCCCTCCCCCCTCCCCCACGAAACTAAAAACCCGCTTACCGTGTTCGTAGATAATGAATGGCGCCCGGTTGCCGGTTACCGTGTACATATTGAGGCTACACACCCGGTTACCGTGTGTACGTAGACCCTGAGGCTACGTGCCCGGTTACCGTGTACGTAGACACTCCGGTAATCAAAAGATATAGATCTAAATCTAGGCTAGACTCTAGATCTAGATTTTTAATCTAGACCTAACGCTACCCCTACGCCTACCCCAAGCCCAAGCCCTCAATTCTACTCTGTCTCATAGTGGTCGCTCGTTACGGAAGTCCTTCCCTAGATCTAGAGTCTATATATCTATTTCCATATCTAGATCTAAATCTAGACCTAGACTGTCCTAGATCTAGATCTAGATCTAGATCTATATCTATATAATATTCTACATCTAGATCTAGATCTAGATCTAGAATATAGATTTAGTTTCAGTTTCGTTTTCTCAAGACCAATTGGTTGACTGTTGACTCCAACTGTTGTCAATTTCAAAACTTGTAGATTCTATGCTGTCTCACAACTTCAACTTGTCTGCTTAAGTTCAAACAATACAAACCTTACCACAATTTTAATTTCAGACGAACTTCTTGAAAAAGAAAAGCCAATGCTATCCAAGTTCCATGGCATTAACATTGGAAACGCATTTCGCTGCGATGATAATTTAACGTAAACTGACGAATAGCTGACTTCTGCTGTACTGTTGTGTATATTTTCTTCCACTTTACCAGCTTCCGTTTAAAATGGCGCCACACTGAGATCTATTTCACACCACAAAATAATAGTCCATTTCCTTCCACATAATTATTTCCCGGTTACGTCCCTTGGAACGTCACTATCTCTATTAGAAATTATGACGTGTTTTAATGGCACGAAAGGTGTGCGATAAAAATTCCAGGTATTCTTTTTCCTTTCCTCCGCTTTCACATTTTGCTACTTGATGTCCGTCGCAAATTAATAGAGTTATTGAAATATTTTATGGTTTTTTAACGAGCTTCATATCACGCTAAGCCTACTTGAGCTGTAATTCCCGAGATTTAGAACAATCGGTGGTTTCATTGAAGTTTAAAAAAACGACATCTGGCAGGTTTTGGGGTGGGGGGTGGGGGGGTTGACTGATAATTTGATGTTTTGAAATTTTCTTTAGATTATTTACAACTAACTTAGTAGTAGTAGTAGTAGTAGTAGTAGTAGTAGTAGTAGTAGTAGTAGTAGTAGTAGTAGTAGTAGTAGTAGTAGTAGTAGTAGTAGTAGTAGTAGTAGTAGTAGTAGTAGTAGTAGTAGTAGTAATAGTAAGTAGTAGTAGTAGTAGTAGCATTTGTATAGCGCATATCCCCGCTCAACAGCAGGCTCTGCGCTTTACACTTTATTATTACCCCAGCAGACCATAGAACACTCCGAAACATTCTCAGCTTCCGCGGAAGCATACAGTGCAAGCAGCTTATTTCACGCGCTCAAACACTATCAAACTGACAAGATCTTTCACTGTCTATAGCTGGGTACCCATTCCCACCTGGGTGAAGTGAGGAAAATTTGTGCAAAGTGCCTTTCCCAAGGACACAACGTCGGGCCCCTGACGGGATTTGAACCCACGACCTTACGGTTGCGAGTCCGAGAGCCTAACCACTAGACCACCGACTACTAGTAGTAGTAGTAGTAGTAGTAGTAGTAGTAGTAGTAGTAGTAGTAGTAGTAGTAGTACGATAGTAGTAGTAGTAGTAGTAGTAGTAGTAGTAGTAGTAGCAGTAGTAGTATTAGTAGTAGTAGTAGTAGTAGTAGTAGTAGTAGTAGTAGTAGCCTAGTAGTAGTAGTAGTAGTAGTAGTAGTAGTAGTAGTAGTAGTAGTAGTAGTAGTAGTAGTAGTAGTAGTAGTAGTAGTAGTAGTAGTAGTAGTAGTAGTAGTAGGAGGAGGAGGAGGAGGAGGAGGAGGAGGTAAAAGAGAAGGATATAAGGACATATTATAGACGACCAGAGAATGACTGTACTGCTCTGAGAAGCAGTAGATAGTGAGGGAAGAGGACACGGAGAGAGAGAGAGAGAGAGAGAGAGAGAGAGAGAGAGAGAGAGAGAGAGAGAGATAGAGAGAGAGAGAGAGTGAGAGATTGAGACAGAGATAGGGAGAGAGAGATAGAGAGAGAGAGAGAGAGAGAGAGAGAGAGAGAGAGAGAGAGAGAGAGAGAGAGAGAGAGAGAGAGAGAGAGAGAGAGAGAGAGAGAGAGAGAGTTTGACCCTCACCCCACCTCCCTTTTTTCTGTCCAAGGTTTCTCTAGTTCTTCTATAAACCAACCACTTGCTTTGTAGCACCTTAGCACTGGCTTGTATTAACAAACAACACAACATTGAAATTTCCAGTGGTGGAGCGTATTAAACAAACAGATCTTTCCTATTTGTTCCCAACTTCTACAATAACAAAGTCTTCAGAAGAGACTTCAAGAACA